GAAAAAAAATGAGAAGAAAACATAAAATGCGCAAAAGACTTAAAGGCATTTGTGCCTTAAGTTGTGAAATAGAAAAGTTTGAGCTTTCCTAGAAATTTGCTTTCTTAGATAAAATAAAAAATAAAAAGAGTAAAACAACCAGAGTGTCAATCAGATAAAGAACAATGAAGCAATGAAGATATTAAAGTAGATACATTCGATGCAGAATGTATTTTTTGTTTGTCATACACACATATACATATAGCTTACCGTTTACGAAATAACACAATAACTAAAATTTTTTATAGAACTATTATTGTATATATATTTTACATGTTTAATTCAATCGTATGTAACTATTATATTATAGTATATTACTTACTTGTCATATATATATGTACGGATACCTTTCCAAAATGCTTCTTTGCCAACTGTGTGTTGCAACATATGCAATATAACGGATGCTATAACAATACACGTAATCATATATATTACAGTGCCTGTATTTAATTATGAACACAGCTAGTAGAAAATGATTTGTTATATATATAAACATAAAATTACATATATATATTTAAGTATATAGTTTTATTATTAATTTTACCTATTCTTTTACAACATTCAATTTTATATTTAAGAATTTACTTGCATGGCAATTTTAATTAAATTTACTATACCTCTGATGTAATAAGGAATTTCAAAAGAACTGTTGATTTGTGAACTAAGAGGCCACATACTGTACTCAGCGTCTAAATGCAGACAATCTTGTTGAATTTGAACCATGAATAAATCCATTATTCGAGAATCTGAGATAGTCTAACAAACAAAATTTTAACGTAATTATTTCAATATAATAATACAAATTGCGAAAGAACTGTTTGCAAATTTGCATTGGCGCGTTGTTTTCTAATATTAAAACTACTTTTTTTAAAGCTTAAAAATATAGTAAGATATCTGTAAAATAAAAATCTGCGTTTCAACAATTATTATATGGAAATTATTTCTCAAATTATTTCAAAGCATATATTTTTTATTATAGATTTTATTTCTTTATTATTTTAATTTTATTATATATAACACACACGTATGTATTTTTTTAGATAATAATTTTTTATAATTAAGATTTTTAAAAAATGTAAAAATATCTATTGAGAGACCAGCATTCTTACAAATAAGAAGTGTTAAATGACATATATTTTTCATCGTTACCATATAATAATAAACATTTCTTGTGTATAGTCATTACCTGAGAGCTAAAGATATAATAATTACCTTATCGACTACATAGGCTCCAAAAAATGTAATAAAAGCCTCGGTTAACCAAGAGTGTGACCACCGAAATGAAAACCATTCTCGTAATATTTTACTAACTACTAAGCGAAGCACTTTAATTTTACGCCCAACGGGATCTGATGTTTCTTTGTACACAATATCAAATTCTCTAAAAAAAGTTTTTAAATAGTATAGTTACTATAGTTTATTATTTGTGAATCTTTATTAATATGCAATATATACATACATACTTACACATACATACTTATATACATACATACATACATACATATATACATACATACATACATGCATTCATACATACATGTTCATACATACGTGTGTGTGTGTGTGTGTAAATACATTATGTATATTAGTTTGGATATGAATAAGAATGTATGCGCACAAAAGAATTACTATTCATTCAGTTGGTTCATATTTTCAAAATTATATAAGGTATTTATAAAAAAAATAATAAAACTGAAATTATCTTTTTACTGCGTAATGCAAGCGATGTGATCTCAGTGTTTTATAAATATGTACATATATGAAATTTTAATGTATCACATACGCTACCATGTTATTTATTAAAATATTTATGTTATTTATTAAAATTAACTATAAAAATTAGTTTAAATTTTTAATATTTAAGTTCTCTCTAAAAATATATATTTAATGGAATTTTTTTAACATATATATTTAATGAAAATATATATTTTCATTTAATTGAACAAATTTATATAAGCACACATAAAAATATGCAGATCTATAAAACATTTTACTATTTTATATATTGTTAGTATATACATATATAATTTACTTATAAGTTACTTTTATATATAATAATTAAATATATAATAAATAAAGACATTTTTTATTTATATATCTACCTATATAGAACAAGCCCTAAAGTTATCATGTTTTCATCATCGAAATGTTGAATTACTACATGATCTACTTTCGAAATTTTCTGTGATCTCCCCCATTCTTTTTTCAAATGACTTGTAATTTTTTCCACAATATTTTCTGTATGAAACAGGAGATATGAGGCGATTTTTCTGTTATACATGTTGGCCACAGTTCCAACCACATTACGAATGAATAATTCTGCTCGATTAACTATAACTGCCGCGATGAAAGAAGTAGACATTGCAACAGTAGTATCGTAGTGTATCGATGCCATATCATTTTTAAGTACTTTTATTTCTCGTGTTGGCATATTTGAAAAAGCCGTGTAATTACGAGGATGTATTATAGAAATATCAAAGGTCGCTTTTAATTCCGGTTTGTCCCAAATATAATTACAATGTATTAGGTATTTCACAATGTATTTCATATAACATACATTTATTAATTACTCACCCTCTATTGTTATATTCACTTTCCATTAAAACAAAAGTTTCGACGTTATCAGCCATAACACGGACAAATTTGCTGTCCATTAAAGAAAAAGTTCTGAAGCCTCCATTATCAGCTTGTAATTACGAGGATGTATTATAGAAATATCAAAGGTCGCTTTTAATTCCGGTTTGTCCCAACATGGAAACAATCGTCGGACACCATCTATCTGATAATGTGTTGCAGCCATCCACCTATTATAATTTAAAAAATATGAATATCATAACGATAAATTTTTGTGTTTTTGCCAACGTAAAAGTATTGAAAAAACAGAAAATATTATATTTCAATAGTAATTTAAATTCAATTTGTTATTACTTATCACTATATAATATTTTTACTATTAGTCACGATAAACCTTTTTTTTTATTTTTAATGTATAATATATATAATATGT